TTCAGCTCTGCTAAAGTTGTTTTTTTTTTTTTTTTTTTTTTTTAACTAGAGAACAACAATTTCTGTGTATTTGGCCTGATTTCCCTTTTTGCTTTTTGAGATGGAGATTCAAGGGTTTATTTTTCCTGGCAACAACATCTACATTACATTTCAACTCAAATTTGGGTCGTGGGTCCTTTACCTCTTAGGTGGTAAAGTTCATGGTCCTGGGACAGGTATGTGTGGGGCAGGATGTCCTGGGTTTCTGGATCCAACCATTTTTGACGTCCATTCTCACTAGAGGGCCAGGCTAGGTGCAAATGTCTCTTCATAGGCATTTGATTTAGAGCAAGATACTTAACCTCTCTGGGCCTCAGTTCCTCACCTACAAAATGAGGCAGTTAGACTGCATCATGGGGGTACTATGTCCCATAAGCCCTTGGAGCTGACTCAGGAGCTGCTAATGAGGCTACAAGGAAGCCGTGGGCAGACTCTTATCCTCTGTCCCCAACCTTCATGCTTCCATTTCTTAATATGTCAAAACCTGAGCAAGATTTTCTTTGCATAATGGATCCCATTGCTCAGAAACAAGTGTGGAAACCATCTGAAGATCATGAAATTCCACTAAGACCTGGCATCATGAGGCTTCTCATTTCTCCCTCTGCCTTTAGACCCCATGCAGTTCTTTTTGCTGGGCTTTCACACCTTTCATTCGCTCCTCAGACTCACTGTGTGGAGAAATGGCTCACTGCGCCATACCAAGTCTGCCTAAATGCATCCAAACAAACTCTGGCTCTCACTGGATAACTCCGTGGTCAGTTTCACCTCTCCGGGAATTTCCTTATCAAGACAGGATCCGGGCTGGAAGGCTGGGTTGGGAAGGTTTCTCTCTGGGTCAGAGGAATCTGTTGTGGGAGGGCTGCTTTGCGGACTTCCATATTTGGCAATTTCTGTACTCCTGTGACTTTCTCTTTTCTGCTGGGTAAAAACTTTTATGACTAATTGGAACATGCAGATTGGTGTCAGCTCACCTATAAATCACCTTGATGTGATGACATTGACACCCCCCTGAGCAGACAGTGGGGTTCTGTGACATGGCCTGGCATATGGAGGTGGGGGAAATTTGAGGTCCCACCAAGCCCTCATCGGGGCGTCCGTCAGCTGGGACCGGCCCGGGCTGAGCCTTGCCTCAGGAGTCCTGCTCTCTCCTTGCCTGTCGCGTTGTTGGGAAATTATTTTGAAGCATTAATTCTTGTGATCTTGTTCTCAGTGACTAGAGGCTGTGCGAGACCACCCTTTACACCCGCCCTTTGTCCTTTCTGATACGCGACTTCTCCCCAGCTTGGCCGCCTCAGCATCCCCTCCTTCTCCCTCATTCCCTCGTTTGCCACCCAGCAGCCTGCCAGTGTCTCTCGGGGACCACTGTCAGGTGGGTCAGGTGGGCGGCAGCACCTCAGAGCCAGCCACCTGCTCTGCTCTTTCCATATCAGGTACAGTCCTAGAGAAGTGAAACCCCAACTTACAGTTTAATTCAATTAATTTTTAATTCCCATTTTGAGCCCAATTTTCTCTACTTTCCAAAACTTTCCCTCCATCCCACCCTGCAGCTTTCCATTGGTTGAACAGCTAGAAATTGCCATTCGGAGGGTCAGGAGCCCCGAGGACAGCACAGCTGGGTGCACTGGTGTCCCCGCTGGTGTTTCAGGTCTCCTTCACGTGGGTGGGGTGGCAGTGTCTCTCTTGTGATGGGCCAGTGACTGCCCTGGTTTTAAAATTACTCCTCCTTGAATGAACATAAATCAGAAGAACCATTGAGAAGCTCCGTTTGTGTGAGGACTGGGGAAAGCAACCTGGGTTGTCAAGAGCCTCGGGAAATACTTTCCTTTTAATTGATGTGAAACATTCCCTAAAAAATGCTCTATTTATTTTAAAAATGAAAAAGGTAGAACTAAACTGTAAAGTTGACTTTTAAAGCTTATGTAAGAAGAAAATTCCTTTGGTGTGATTTAAAACATTAAATTATAAACTGCTTTTTTCGATCGGTGATTTAAGGAGTATAGAAACCCCTGTGTGAAGGTGACAGCTGGGCAGAGGACCTGAGGATCTGCACGTGCCTGCAGTGAGGGCCTCTGTCCTTGAGGGTGGGGGCAGGAGAGGCTCTGAGCAAACATTTGAAATAAGAGATAGAGAAAAGAAAGTACAGGGAGGCTTATCTCCTGGTGGTTTTCTGTCTGAATAGATCCTTCCCACCTCTTAGGCGTTACAGTTCTTCGAGAGTGTTCCCTTTCACACTTTGTAAGCTGATGGAGTTGGCAGGGTACCTAGAGACAGGAGGAGTATTAGAAGTGATGGGAAGGGAGGGAAGAGAACAGGGTCCAGGGAAACGGGAGTGTGTCCTTGGACTAGTAGGTTTTTTCGGGTTACTGTTTTTCAGACAGAAATTGGGACCATTTGTAGCAAATTAAACTCCAACTGCCTGTTGGTTCACAAGACTTGATGTGGTGGTGCCAGTCCCACAGGAGTTAGTTGACAATCTTGACTCGGGAGCCTAAGCTGCTGAGTGCACAGGCTGGGCCTCCAGCTGCCAGCACTTTGCTAACCTCGCGTCTGGCAGACTTTGGAGAATATCCTGGTCTGTATCTGTTCTCTGACAGTGCGCACAGTGCTCTGTCTTGAAGCACGGGAGCCAAAATAAAATGGATAATCTTGGGAAGACCCATTGAGGAGGACGGGACATCCTGCGTCTGGGGTAATCCAGACCGTAGGCTTCCTTGGAGGGAAGGAAGGGTTCTGTTCTGATGTTGTGAGGGACCAGACTCCATCCTGGTCTTAGAGCTTTAAAACCAGAGGCTAAATGGTGTCGTGGGGCCTGCAGAGTACCTGAACCAGCCACTGGAAACCATCCCCAGACCTCAGCCCTTGGCTTCCATCTTGGTGGTGGTGGTTGTTGTTGATACTCACCCAAGGATATTTTTTCCATTGATTTATAGAGAGGATGGAAGGTGGGGGAGAGAAAGAAACATCAGTGTGAGAGAGACACACCGATTGGTTGCCTCCTGCATGTGCCCCAACCAGGGCCGGGGATTGAACCTGCAACCAGGTATGTGCCCTTGACTGGGAATCGAACCCACGACCTTTCAGGGCGTGGCGGTGTGGCCGACACTCTAACTACTGAGCCACATCGGCCAAGGCATTGACTTCCATCCTGAGGCAAGAGCACGGATGGGGTATTGTTGGCTCGCTTCCATGTCACTCACCCACTTCCTGAACCCTCATTCCATGAGTTGTGTCATCAGGACCCGTAGAAAACAATAGTCCCATTTACTGGGCCTCCCTGTGCTCAGCCTATTGGAGTAATTCCTGTTCCATAGAGAAAGAGTGTGAGGCTCTGGGGGTTTAGGATTTACACAGGCCATGTGGTGGACACATGCACACCTGGTAGAAACCCAGGGCTGCCTCCTCCAAAAGCCCCACTGTCTTTCTCGCATACCTGCCCACTGCCCTAGAAGTTCATTTCTCCTTCCTTGGTGGGAAATGGGTGGCCTTGACCTCAGCATTCACAGTGACCATCCCACCTGCCCAGTGAGCCCCAGTTGAAGACACTGTGCAGAAGTCTCAGATCCTTAGCTCCAAACATTCCACCAGCAGAGTTGCCCTAGGGAGTGTGGGCCTGCGATGTTTCACCTCCACACCCAGATGACAGGGAAGTTGGGTGTGAGATTGGTGTAGAGAGTGGACCCACACAGAGCCCTGGGGTGAAACTGAGGTGGAAGCTAGGATGAGTGACCAACCCTGGTGTCATTCTGTGAGGCCTAGTCAAAGGCTGAGTCCAGGTGAGAGGAAATAGGAGAGACTGGTACCAGCCCTGTGGGAAACAGGATGTGAAGCCTGAGAGATGCTGGAGGCCTGGGCTCCAGGCACCGCCCCCTAGTGGACTAAACCACTGTTGTGGAGGGACCTGGGAAGGCCACTGGGACTTCTTAGGGCCTCCCTTCTGAACATTGTGTCCACTTGTGTTTGAAGCTGTCGCGGACCAGCGCCCTATCAACTACTGCACGACAGGCCTGCATGACTGCGACATACCCCAGCGGGCCCAGTGCGTCTACACGGGTGGCTCCTCCTACACCTGCTCTTGTCTGCCAGGCTTCTCTGGGGACGGCCGGGCCTGCCAAGGTGTGTGGGGACTCTGATTTTTCTCTCTGTATAACCTGAAAAAAATGCCCTGTGGGGTACTTATCATATGCTAATTACCGGCTCACCCTGAGTTTAAAAGAGTTGTTCTCTCAATTCTGTTGGTGAATGGGCTGCATTTTGTCTTTCTCTAGTAGTTTGAACTATGCATTTTCTTTTGGGGACTGTTCTTATTGGGGAAAACACTTGGCCTCCCCCCTGGTGTTTTGTTCTGTGTGACTTGCTCGTTCAGGCAGCAGTTATACACCTGCTGTCTGCTAGGAACTGGGGAGGGGAGGATTGTCTTTTACGAAAAGAAAAACCATCCTTGCATTCATGGAGCTTAAAGTCCAGCCATTTATTTAATAAGGTGTGTAGCCATTCACCTGGCCTGCTCTAATCATCTCCAAAAAGACGAGCTTTGCTTATTGAATAAAAGAGTGGAATAGAGAGCAAATGACCCCACAGAACTCTCAGACCTGAACAGTCCTGTGCTGGCCACCAGGGCTCTGTGGATAATTTAGGTAAATAACTGTCAACATAGTGCCCCAGTCCCTTGTTCTGCTGGATTACTTAGCTTTATACCACGAAGTATTTCTGAAAAGTCCAAGGTTTTCTAGGATAGATTATAATTTCTGAGAGACTGTCTCTTCATTACTGACCATGTGAATTTTCTCTAGTCACTGAGGTTTTCTGTCCAGCAGTTAATCTGTCTGCAAACCCTCAGACATTTTTGAAGCCCTCATTTATGATGAGAAGAAGCATTTTATAATACAAAAGAATCCTTCCTTTTTTCCGTTTGATGAAAACATTATCATCAAAGTGAAACAGTTTGTAAATGCACAAGATAGACATTGGGGAGTTACTAGTTTGATAATTAATGTTGGGTGAATTTTAAATCACTGTTACCAGATCAGAAACAGGTTCCCATAGAGTTGAGCAAGTGGCTTAAATTGCTGTGTAAACTGTGGATTCCAGAAGAAATCTCATTGTCCTGGGGCCTGGGGCAATTTTGCAGATGTGGATGAATGCCAGCCAAGCCGCTGTCACCCTGATGCCTTCTGCTACAACACTCCGGGCTCCTTTTCATGCCAGTGCAAACCTGGTTACCGGGGAGATGGCTTCCGCTGCATGCCTGGAGGTAAGGTGCTAGGACATTTGGAGTCAGTGGGCCGGTGCCATATGGGTGAGTACTGAGTACATGGCCCTGGGAGGGAAGGTGAGGTGGGGATGTGTGAGGCTCCATGGCAGTCCTGAGGGCTGTTGAGGTAAATCAGAGCGTGGCTGCAGTGAACAGGCATGCAGGTTGTGTACTGCTAACTACAGGGGGTACCAAGCATGAACCATCCTATACTGGCAGCCTGGAGTCTGGTTTTTCTGGTAACTTGAGTCAGCAGTGCAGGGTAAGAACTGGTCTGTAGCAGTCAGGTTCTCCAGAGAAACAGAATAATAGGATGTATGTATAAATATATATATTTATATTAAAGAGATTTAGTATAAGAAATTAGCTCACATGATTATAGAGGCTAGAAAGTCCCAAGATCTGCACTGGCCAGCTGGAGACAGGAGAGCTGACGGGGTAGTTCCAGTCTGAATGCTGGCAGGCTTGAGACCAGAAAGCCAATGTTTTCATTTGAGTCTGAAGGCAGGAAAAAGTCCATGTCCCAGTCGTTAGGTCATCAGTCCTTTTTTCTTTTTTTAATGTTTTTATTGATTTCACAGAGAGGAAGGGAAGAGATAGAAACGTCAATGATGAGAGTCATTGATTGGCTGCCTCCTGCACACCCCCTACTGGGGATTGACCACCCCCCCCAACCTGGGCATGTGCTCTGACTGGGTGGTTCATAGGTCAACGCTCAACTACTGAGCCACGCTGTCTTGGCAAGAATTCTTTCTTACTTGGGGAAGGTCAACCTTTTTGTTCTGTTGTGGCTTTCTACTGATTGGGTGAGGCTCACCCTCATTAGGAAGGGCAGACTGCTTTACTCAGTCCATAGAGTTGAAGATTAATCTCACCCAAAACACCCTCACAGAAACACCCAAATAATGGTTGACCACATATTTGGGCTCTCTGTGGCCCAGTCAAGTGAGTGCATAAAATTAACCATTGCAGGTTCCTGGAGCTGTGTGGAATAGAACTAGGCTGGGGTGAGAGCAGGGGTGAATGGTTACCAGTTGGGGAAAGATGCAGGCTGGGGCCTCCATAGAATTGTTGGTATTATGTGTTACATCTGGGCTGTGCAGCTTCTAAGGTTGCCTGCTGACCTAAGACCTGAGTGGAATCTCATTAGATCTTAAGGACAGTGATAGCCTGAGGTCAATACCAGGAACTCGGGAAGCACTCAACAGAGGTTGTGGGATGAATAGGTATAATTGGCTGCCATTTGTGGAACCTACTGTGTGCTTAGTGCTTTACGTATACTATTTCATATATTGTTTACAGTCACCTTTTAAAAGTAGGTGCTATTACTATCTACATTCATGCTAAAACTTAGAGATAAAGGCGCAGCCGAGGTCTCACAGGTAGTAAGGGTTAGGTCTGACTCAAACTCGGCCTGTCAGATGGACCCCAGCCTGGATGCAGCCTGATAACCATGTGGGATCCTGTCATGAGAGTAACCATGTATTTGACTGGAGTTAGCCAGTCATGTTACTGATTATTTTTAATTACTGCTGCTGCTATTGGCCAGACAGGTTTATGCCACCATGTTTCAATAAGAGATCTAAGTGGAAAGTTCCATTTCACCACTTTTTTAAGCAATTAATAACTATATCAGTGTCTGTCCCCTTCGCTAGCCTGTCAGTGCCCTGAGGACAGGATGTGTGTGCATTCTAGTTTGTATTTTTATTAATTGGGGGGGGGGAGTGAGAAACATTGATGTGAGAGAGAAACATCGGTCAGATGCCTCCCACATGCAGCCCAACTAGGGATTGAACCTGCAACTTAGGTATGTGCCCTGACCAGGAATCAAACCTACTGCCATTTGGTGTATGGGACTACGCTCCTTGGAACCATCTGAGCCACCCAGCCAAGGCTGTGTATTTTATTTTTATATCCCCAGTAACCAGTGGAGTATGTGGCCCATGGTGGGCTCACAGCTGTCTAGAGTTGTTGAAGAAATAAAGGAATGCACCAGTTTCCACTCCTACCAGCAGCATTTATCCACACTCAGCAGGACTGAGTGTGACCAGTTTTTAGGATAGTTGATCATCCAAAAGGAGAAAACTTTCAGATTAAAGTTTAAATTTTGATATAACTACTTGTTGCTGGTCTAAGTTGTTTTCTGCTTAGAACAATGATCAGTAAGCTACTACTCATAGGTCAAATCCTGCCCACCTGTTTCTGTAAATAAAGTTTTATTGGAACACAGTTGTGCTTGTTTGTTTATGTATAGTCTGGCTGCCTTCATTCTACAAAGGCTGAGTTCAATTTGTGGCAGAGTCTGTAAAGGCCCACAGAGCCTGAAGTGTTTACCACCTGGCCCTTGACAGAAGTTTTCCAACCCCCGGCCTAGATGAACCCAGGCAGGGCCACCATTCTGTTCCTGAAAATATGGGTAGAAACTGTAGTAATGCCCAGAGACTCTGATCAGCAAGTTGCACAGAGAAGACTTCGTGATAATTTGAGTGGAGACATTCCAGTTGCTATTAACAATGACTAACATTCATTATTTCCTTCGGCTTCCTTCACATCTCCAGTTCAAAAAGAAGTTCTTTTAAACCTGACTCCTTGTCCCCCCTTTAAGGCTCTGTTGACTAAACAAACAAATCCAGACCTGCAGGCTGGGATGTAAGGAGGGACCAGGATGAAACCAGTAACAGCTACTTGCTAGGATTGTTTATGTAGTTAATCCTGTTCTTTTAAGAAAGTCAACATCCAGTTATATACTAGTGAGAAGGTGCACTAGAAAATATAGTATTGTTTGTAACCTAAAGAAATCTAAATGACTATCAACAGAAGGAATGGACAAATGAGTTTTGGGACATTTCACACAATTGAAATAATATACAGCAGTTAAAATGAGTAAACTAGAATTAATGGGTAAATCTCAAACATGCTGAGCAAAAAAAAAGTTACAAAAGGATATATGCAGTATGATCCCATTCATATAAAATATGACCCTTTATGGAAATAAACCGATGCATGTGTACCCATATGTAATAAAACATAAAATGGCCCAGCTGGTGTTGCTTAGTGGTTGAGCATCGACCTAGGATCCGGGAGATCGTGCTTCGATTCCCAGTCGGCACATGCCCGGGTTGCAGGCTCGATCCTTGGTAGGGAGTGTGCAAGAGGCAGCCAACCAATGACCCTCATCATTGATGTTTCTACCTCTCCCTCTCTCTTCCTCTCTCTGAAATCAGTAAAAATATATTTTAAAAAAGAGAAAAAGGAAAACATAAAATGCACGCATGGGAATGAGAGACAACAGCTGGAGAAGAAGGTTCCCCGGATGGTGACAGAGAGGGAATGGGTCAGGTGGGCAGGGCTACACAGGGGCTGCATTTATGTTCTAATGGGTCTGTTTCTAGCATGATTATGAACATATATTTTTCTGAAGTTTGTATGACTAAATATTTTATGAACTATTAACAGAAAAGTAATGTGTATTGTCATCTGGACTCCTCTTGCCAGACAATGAAGTGCAGAGATTAGACAGTTGGCATTTACTTGGCACTGACTCTCCGCAGCGGGGCTAATTCAAAAATACAACTGAACTGGCTTTAAGGGTGAGTCAGTTAAAGCCATGACTACTGCAGTGTCAACAGGCAAAACAGAAGTTATGATTCCCCACCCCTGCCCACCCCCATCCTCCCGAGCTCTGCCCCACAACCACATGTATTTTGAAGTCAGTTCAGTGGGCTGCTAGTACCATTTTCTTTAAATGAAATGGGATGAAACAAAGTAAGGAAATATCAGAGTATGTAGAGTGTATGTAGTAGGAATAAATATTGTTTTATGAAAGGATACTTGCATATATGCTTGTACTTGCATGGAAGAGCGCGCGCGTGTGAGAGAGTGTGTGTGTGTGTGTGTGTGTGTGTCTGTCTGTCTGTCTGTGTGTATGTACTGAATTGCCGAGTGGGTCACGGTCAGAAAGTTTGAAAGCTGCCATATCAGTTATCTTTTGTTGTGTAACAAATTTTCTTCAAAGTTAGCTTCAAGCAATAAACATCTATTATCTCACAGTTCTGCGGGTTAGGAACCCAGGAGCAGCTTCAGTGTGGGGCCTTGTTCAGGGTCTCTCATGAGGTTGTCAAGACATTAGCCAGAGGGAGCTGCAGTCTTCCCTGAGGTCCATCTGGGGCTGAAGAGCCCACGTGGTGTTGGCAGGCCTCAGTTCTTCGTGGACCGTGGACCGAAGACCTTGTTTCTCATAGCACAGGGCTGCTGAAGTGTCTTCAAGACCTGGCAGCCAGCTCCCTCCAGGGCAAGTGAGAGAGAACCCAAGATGGAAGCCTTTTGTAACCTAATCTTGGGAGTGACAATGCTGTCACTTCTGCTGATACTATTAGTCACAGGCCCGTCCTCAGCAGTGGGAAAGGGAACTGCGTTAAGTGTGAGAGTACTGTGAGGTAGAGATTGGGGGCCATCTTGGAAGCAGGCTACCATGGCCACGACCTTGCCTGGACAGTGTCTGGGGGAAAGTCACTGACTAGTTTGGGGAGGTGGGGGAGCTTATTAGAGGATCAAAGAAGAGTCTAAAAAGTCTAGGGCTGCCCGGCGGGCGTGGCTCAGTGGTTGAGCATCATCCTAGGATCTAGGAATTCACAGTTCGATTCCGGGTCAGGGCACATGCCTGGGTTGCGGGGCTCGATCCTCAGTGGGGGGCACACAGGAGGCAGCCAATCAGTGACTCTCTAATCATTGATGTTTCAGCTCTCTCCCTTCCTCTCTCTGAAATCAATAAAGATATATTTAAAATAAAAATAAAATAAAGTCCCGGGCTGGAGATGTAAAGCCTGGTCCTGAAGGGCAAATACCAAGCCTGTGGAATCTGAGCACCTCTCCTCACGCTGGGCACCAGTCACACACACATACCAGCCCACTGTATCGGGCTCACACCGCACATCCTACAGAGAAAGATAATTAAAGAGATCAGGAAGTAGGACTGCAGGGAAGATGAAACATTTAGGACA